ACTTATAATCCTGTATTCTTTGCAGGTACTCACTGATTCACAAGACACAGTTGGACTCTATGGCCGATCAGGTACAAGCAGAGACAGACGCAGAAGGCGATGAAGCCAGTGACCGCGTTGATATCCCTGATGAGGAAACGGAGAAGGTGACTTGCGCTCTCACATACTTGCGCAAAGGTGTTGAGTTGCAAGGGGCCGGCGATAAAACAGATGAGGAGAAGGGGATGACGACGACAACCAAGTAGGTAGTGTGTGCTTGGGGGTGTATTGTATAAGACCAGTGTGTGTACAGAGTGCGGTGTGGTGTGGGTATGCATACACGCCCCATATCTGCACAAGTCTGTCGAGTAGTAGTGCGATGGTGATGGGCGGATGAGCGGGGTGGCTATGCGGTCTTAGTAGGCGACTCGGTGGGCGTGTGTCGAGGCTGTAGGCCAAAACCGCATGTTCTAGTGTTTAGGGACCTGAGCCTCTAAACCCTAAACCCTAAATCGTGTGTAAGAAACTCATCATGCGTGTGTTCTATTAAAGTGTGTATTTTGGAGAATGATGGCATGATATCGAATTGCTTGTGCAAGCGATATGTATATATATATATATATATATATGTATGTATGTATGTATGTATGTATATGTATATGTATATGTATATTTAACAAGCGACACTGAACTACTGCGCAGGATCATTACTACCCGCATGTACCTTGCACATATGAAGGGTCTAGGGTTTTAGTGTACACTATCGTACCTTGGAATATCCCATACACCACAGAGTCCAAACCCGTTTCCTGCCATACTGTTGGCACCATATCCCACAGTGGGAACCCGACTGTCTCCAGCGACGTGACCCCGCAATCACTCGCCGAATTGGCGGCCAAATATGTGGTCAACTACTCACAGGCACTGGACGGTGACTGGAGGAGGCAGGTATTGAGCGCAGCTATGGACTTCTTCCGGGATTCTACGCTAGGTGCGAATACATATTAATATTATATTACGCTTGTTATGGGGCTATACTACCTACTTATAACCTCTTGTGCTATTTTGTCATACCTTTCTCCTATACCGTCATGCGCTTATTTCCTCGTCGCTCTGCTATATCTTCTTATGCATATTTTGTCACACCGTTCTACTGTACCCGTCGCAGTTGATAGTACAGGTGCTTGGCAGTTCAATGCCTTACCATCCGACGAGTGTTTGAATATGTTGGGCTTCTTCTTGGACTACGCCGAATGCTGTGCTGCAGCCGAGGACTTCGATGCTGCCGTTAAAGCCCTTGTGAGCGGTAAGTGAGACTTATCATAGTCGAAATATCATATACATGTATTTGTATATGTATGTA